GGGAGCTTTTACATTCTTCAAGGTTTTCACCATACTGCAGATGGGGTGAGTGAGGGGTATGCAGAATTTGTAAAAAGGTGAATTTTTCTGATTTTCCAAGATCAAAAAGTTCAAGTTAGTGTTCATTCTTGAGTAAAGGGAAAATAACAGATGAGTTTTCACAGAAAATTAGCAGAGGAATCGGTATATTTCCTCTGTTCAGTCTCTCTTATTTAACCCATTAGCTTGAATAATCACATATTTGTATTCCTGGTACAATGAGAGTCATGCGCGCAAGGCAATGTATTGCTAAAGTGCCCGGGTATTAGATATGTAAGCTTATTTTGAGTATGCAAGGTTTAGTAAGCAATATGTCCTATTCTGTGGATTTAAGCACGCCGAGCTTAGTGATCAAAGATAACCATCTGACATGTCTGTGTCATGGCATCGGTGTTATGCTAAGCACGGCGTGCTTAGCAGTACAAATAATTCAAGAGAAAAGAGGAGCTGCAATGCAAGGTCACTGCAGTGTCATGCGGTTGGTCGAAGGTTTTGCCATGCAAATCAATATTTATAGATGTGGTTTGGCCCTCCAGATAAACAGGGGTGGATATCAAAAACTTAAACGATCTTTATCAGACTTACAATTATCGTTCCTCACAAAATGAGCACTCGGTGGAAAATATGCCAATGTACCGAGTTTGGATGTGATCAAGAAACTTTTCAAGACATGGAAACAAAGGAAGAGAAGAAAGGAAAGGCATGGTCAGCTACCTCATTTAAAAGTCATTCCAGGTCTATTTTGAAGAAGAAAGAGAAGGATGAGAAAGGAAGAGCAATTGAGGAGGCTCCTCAAAATACTATAGTTGATCAGGTATATTCTTATCTTAATTTTAACCACTCTCCATCTAATAATTGTGGCTTACCTCACTCCAAACAAACCAAAAAGACCCCAGGCGAAACAACTGTTGTTAATCCAATGCAAGATGGATCCGTCGAAAGGGAGAACGCTGTTGCAAATGGTTATCTTGTTGTTGATACTGAGTCATCAAAAGCAAGAACATTTCAGCTAATTCCTCAGCACAGTCTTACAACAATGCTACAAGCGGCTAAACTCTCTCTGGTAACGAGGGTCAGCGACAAGAAGATATCTGATTTTTTGAAGACTGAACACCAAAAAGTGAAACAACTCTCTGAAGAATTTTCATTTGATGGATCAAGAATAATCAGTAACATACCTCTCTCAAAACCTACGGTATTCCAAAAGCTCGGATTTGAAAACGATTTTTCTGAAGAGATCTGCTGCACCGACTGCTTCAAACTTTACCCTATTCCAAAACTTCCAAAGGGGAAAGATGAAAGAATTCCAGAATTAACAACTACATGCAAAACTGTTTTTTATTCGGAATCAAAGAAATTCTTGAAGAAAGTTGGCAAGGAAGTGCAGTATTGCAATGCAAAATTGATGGATGTTGAAAGAACTGGAGAAAAAATCACAAAAATTATTCCGATTCGAACATTCACTTCCACCAGGAAGCCTGTCTTACGCATAAACTCTGGCTCCCTGGATTTGAAGCTCTATTGGATTCCAATCTCAAACACAAAAATTCTGGTAGCGGGACTATGGGTGATGTGTGGGATGGAAGTGTATGGAAAAATCTGTAGGACCTCAAGACTCGGATGAAATATTCACTTCAAGACCTGGGCACCTTGTCTTTAGTCTTTATGTCGACTGGTTCAATCCATACGGAAACAAAAGTGGTGGGAAGTCTGTATCACTGGGGGCAGTAGCCCTTGTCTGCCTCAATCTACCACTAGCCGAACGTTATAAGATTGAAAACTTATACTTGTTTGGAGTGATCCCCGGACCAACGGAACCCAAGGTGGACCAAATGAACAACATACTGGAGCCGCTTGTGGAGGAGATGCTTGATTTTTGGAAAGGGGTTTGGTTCACCAAGACAAGTACATTTCCAAAAGGCCGCCTGATATTTGCCGCCATATTCCCCCTAATAGGAGATCTACCAGCAATTCGGAAGACCGCTGGTTTTGCATCACATGCAGCAACAAAGTTTTGTTCATTCTGCAAGATCACGATTCACCAGGCGGAAATTATCGATATTGATCAATTCGAGCCAAAGACACACGAAGCCCACATGGAAAGAGTAAAAAGATGGGAAGAAGCTACCGATCATGCAACAAGAGAAGAAATTGCAACAAAGGAAGGTGCCAGGAGCTCTATTCTGAACAAGCTACCTTACTGGCGGCCTGTGGAGCATTGTGGCATCGAAATAATGCATGTGTTGCTCTTAGGAAACCTGAAAGACCACAGCTCAAACATCTTGAAAACGTTTGAGGCTGGAAAGGATTTGAAGGCTTTGTCCATTCTTGAGGCTAAGTGGAAGAAGAAACATACTTCTGGAGGAGATATATTTAGAGGCCTCAAGTTCCCCGATCTGAAGCGCAAGAAAACTCCTGATGATGAGGCAAGTAGTACAGATGAAGAAGGGGTGGGAGGGAGAAAGAGACGCCTGCTTAACTCAAAAAATTTATCCCGCTTGTCAAGAATTGAAGAAGATGCAGTAGGTCCTTCAACAAATACGTATGGAGCAAGTCAAATATCACTCAGGACAAGAAGCTCAACAAGATCAGGATCAGTATCAAGATCTGTTGAAAGTTCCACCTCCGAGTCAACTATACGTCGCTACGATCTGCGTGCAAGGAGTGTTCTCAGCACTTCATCTCTTGGAAAGGGAACCGTTATTGAGGAGGACATAGAAGAGACAAATACGGTGGCCAACAAGGAAGGACTAGAAGAAGAGCACGTCAACACAGGAGAGACTGAGGTGAATCATACCAAAGAGCCAAGGATGGTGAAGGAAGAATTACGGGTTCTGCAAGATGTAATCACTCAGACTGAGATTCCTACTTGGGTTTCAAGAGTCCCCCACAATTTTGGTTTATCAGGTTCAGGTTCTCTTAAAGCAGCGGATTGGTTAATACTGTATACGGTATATTACCCACTTGCCATGGTTCCATACTGGGTGATTGGGAATGATTGGCAAAAGCAAAAGATTGATGGATCTACCTCGGTGACACATCAAGATGTCTTGCGAGATTCACTGGTCCAGTTGATTGAAATTACAAATATTCTGATGATGCACCATCTCGAGCCAAATGACATTACCAAATACTCCAAACTGATCTGGGAATACCAAAAAACACTGAAGCTTGGGTGGCCAACACAGAGTAGCAAACCCAACCTCCACTTATCCCAGCATTATCCCAAAGTCATCAAGAGTCTCGGTCCCCCTATGGCAACTTCTGCATGGGCTCAGGAACGTCTCAATGGAATGCTTGGAAAGATTCCGCGTAACAATCACATTGGTAGGTGATGTCAATATTTGGCTCTGTGCATTTGGGTCAAAGGGCTTCTTGAAATTGATTTTTCGCTTTTCTGAAGGGGAACTCGATAAAACACTCATGAGTAGCTGGAGTAAAAAAGCGCTATACTATGGGATGATTAATCAAAGGAACCTAGGCACGGAAGGATCAACAACAGATAGTCATGTGAAGAAGACAATGACAACCAACCAAACAAACACAATACTTGATTCAAGGGTTTACAAACAATGGAAAGTTCAACTGGAGAACATGGGGTTCCGCGGAAATGCAGTGGAAGGGGAGATTAAAAATGTGGTGATTACAGTCAAGAGTGTTCAAATATTCAATCGGAGATATGTCGCAGCGAAGGATTTAATCGAGAAACCACCAGGCAATTCAAGTGTGGAGATTGACCGAGGTGGAGATAGAATCTTTGGGAGGATCTCTTTGCTTTTTATGGGTCAATCAAGGGAAGATGTTTGGTTTGTGGTTCGCCCTTTTGCATCATTGAACCGTTGGGACGAAGCAAAGAATCCATACAAAGGCCTTCCACAGCTCAATGTCAAGTTAATCTACTCGAGGAAGCTGGAGAAAGCGGTGGTCGTACATCAGTCACAGGTTGTTGGGCATATAGCCACCTTGCGGAATAAAGAGGGGACCTTTGGGATTAACCAAGAAACCATTTCAGCAGTCAGTCTGGGGAGTATTGTAAGATTTTTCCGTACTAATTATACCTGTTTTAGATTCAAGTTGCTTACTGATCATTGTTTGTTTGGTTTTCTGTACAATTTCTGTACAAAGGCATGGAGCCGGAACGTTGAGTTGGAGGAATAAATTTGTAAATCAGATGCTGTAACTGAATTAGAATTTATTATGCAACATGAAAATACTTCAAGATGAAGGGGATGATTGTGGATGTTTGGTTTTGTTATAATATATTTGTTCTTTTTTTCCTTTGTTGTGCAGTACCGTACTAAATGTCTGTTTGGGTGAACCATGTCACCATCTGGCAGGAAAAAGGTTAGGTGGAGGAAAATCCCCATTCTGGTATATGTGCACAACATGGATGTGGAATGTTATCGTGAAATTCCCATTTTTTCAACCTTCAATCACCCTGTTGCCCAACCAATCCAGGATACAGACTGTGAATTCTTTTGTCTAAGTGTTCTCTACAGACAGGCACCCATTTTTAGTACTCTAACAAATATCTGAAGATTTACTGATCTTGCCCTTGTATCCCTTTGCAACGTAACTTGCCCATATATACCTTGATTACCTGGACACTCATAAAGCTGCAATACAGTAGAAAAATGGCCTCAGACATGGAGACCTCCGACGATGAAGAGAGAACATCAAGAACCGGTGCTGCTTCAACATCTCAAAATCAACCTGGGAGTGCTGCAAATGCGGATGATGCTGAATTTGATAGGATGTTGGGTGGCGATACTGATGATGATGAAAACAATGACGGTAAGTTGTGAAATCTTATTTATTTCCATCTAGGATTTAAAGTCCAGTCTGTCCTTGATGCCTTCATGGTAAGGAAAAGCTGAAAATTGGTCCTGCCTCCTTGGTAATCAGATTCTGACAGTGGAATTGAAGATCCGACAGCTGCGCTGAAGAATCAAGTGGACCGAGAAAGAAGGAAAAGGGCTCATGAAAGCTCTCAAGCAACCACCCGCAAAGTAAGAAAGGTTGTTGTGGGACAAAAACTTCCGAGTCAGTCCAGTGGACTATCCCGCTCAATTCGCAACTTCATCAAGTTCATGATGGGAATGCCTGCATCCGTCAGTTCTTACCCAGCTGGCCCAACTTCAACAGAATGGGGTATTTGGCATAACTGGACAAAGAATCGCTACGACAAGGTGACAGCCCACTTGGAGATTTTCTCAGAGAAGCATAAGGAAGTGCCAAAGCCTACTTTCAAGAAAATGTATCGTGAAGAACTGGACCGCATCCGCAAGAAATTAACTCCACCGCCGTTTATAGCCACTCCGGATGTTTTGAACAGCGAGATCAACATCCCAATGCACGTGAAGAAATCTTGTGAACAGGAGATCCAAATTGCGGGATTTGGACGTCTCACGTTTGAGTGGAAGGCTCGATCGTTTACGACATCACCTTGGAATGGGACTCTTGGAACAATATTGATGAAACACTACTATCAATGGGCCAAGTCACAACCTGGAACTTTTTGGGACGAAACATCAAGCATGGAGAAAATATTGGATCGTTGGGTTCAAGGTCAGGGGAAATTAATGAAGAAGGCGGACCGGTCGGATGGAAAATCTTTGGAAGATCTGAAATAGAAAAGTCGAGGAAAGCTACCATCAACCGAGGTAAAACTAAAGTAT